ATTTATAATGGTATAACAATTAAGATAGTGTAGTATTGACCCAAAGGATTATAATTGGTCAGTGTGGCAGAATAAAGAACCCCAAAATAGACATATACATGTGGTATATGAGAGAAATCATATTACTGAGAAGTGGGAAATAATGGGCTTATAAAAATTAGCCTAGCAAAATTAATTATGAATGTGAAGAAAACAGCAATTCTATTTGGAATGTAAACCTGAGATTGAAGGTAAATAACAAACAAAATATTTTAAGGGACAACACAAAGTATATTTTGTCCCTTTATTATAAGGGAATATTTGTCAATAAACACATTTAATAGGTTCTCATAAAAAGAAAAATTCAAAAATATCAATTTTGTTAAGACTAAGATAGATGATTTATCAAATAATACCATAGGAAGTAAGTAAACAAACATTTTCAAAGAGAAGGTATTTGAAACACCTTATGATTGACAAAGGATCTATGTCTAAATAATGTAAAGACATCCACGAAGGGCTAATCTAATCTGTAATAAAAGAACAAATATATCAGATTCTATACAATGAGATATCATTTTGTACTCAGTATATTGACAATGAAGTGTGATTATGCCAAATTTAACAGAATCGCTGAACAAGGAATCTTTTTCAGTAGACAGATTTTCTGAGGAGACACCTTTAGCTCAGTATGGGTAGAGGGTGGAGCACTTATCTGAAAGCAAACAAGTAAGACTGAAGAACAGCAGTTTTGGCCAAACTTTGCATGCTCATGAATCCCCTTAGACTGTATCCAAGTGCAGTTAACAGCAGCTCAAGTAAGTTAAGAAAAAAGTGTCATGTCAGATATATGTTTTATGGAGGCAATAGGAAGTAACTAAAAGGACAAATGGGAAAAGAGCAAGAGGAGGCAACTGTAAACATCATATAAAAATTGAGAAAATAATTGTTAGTATAAAAGCAATATTTCTTTAAATTTAAAGCCTTGGAATAATTATAAGTATTTTATAACTAATTATAAAATGATTTCATTATGTAACAGAGGTAATGAAAATCCCTGAAGCAGTTTTTAATCATAATCTTGTTTTCTGAAAATAAATTATTGAATTAGAGCCATGTTACTAATTTAAGAATTTTTAATTAATGACTTATGGCCTAAAGGAATTTTTATACTAGTATAAAATAAACCAATTGTGTAATTAGTAAGAATTTAATGATTCAAGTGATAATTTTCCAAATTATTTCATTTTATAGGTTTTCTAAGCCATTATGCTTTACATTAATTTTTACCTTATTTTGAAATTATGAAACATCTGCTTTTAACTATGAATCATTATAAAATAAACCAACCCTCCAGATAGACTTTATGAATATGAAAATAATATATAAATTGACTCTTTTTGTTTTCAATAATTATAAAATTTGGTAGAGTTATGTTCTATATTTAATTTTCACTGCTTTTACATGTTATAACCATCTCTTTTAATTATAAGGTTTTTGTAATATATTAGAGTCTGTATGAATAAAGCAAAGAAAGCAAACTAAGAAGGACTTTATCTTCATAAGTTGATTTTTTTATTTCACCATGTTAAGCATTTCACTCATTTTGTTTTAGTCCTATGCCTTCTTGTTTGATAGTTGCAAGATAACTGTTTTATTTAGATAAATCGCATTTTCACTGGGCATGGATAAGGGTAAGGAGGAACAAAGGGCACTCCTGATGCAATTCTTGTCTTCTTGTATCAGCAGACTCCAGAAAACAGACTGATGGAGTATTCAAATACAGATGAAGATGAGAGGAGTTTATCATAGAAATTGACTCATGTAGTTACCAAGGCTGAGAAGTCCCATAATTCTGCCACCAGCAAGATGGAGAACAAAGTAAGCCTGTGCCATAATTCAGTCCAAGAACAAAGGATTGAGAGGACCTGTGGAGAGGCTAGAGGAAGTGGGATAAGTGCAGATCTGGGTCTAGATGTCGAAGAATCATGAGCCAATTTCCAATACTATGGGCAACAGAAGATGCAGGTCTCAGGTCCAGCAAACAGAACAAATTTGCTCCTCCTCAACATTTTTGTTTTGTTTATAGCCTCAACAAACTGTATAATTCACAAACACATTGGGGAGGGCCATCTCATTACACGTTCACCACTTTTGATCTCCTCCAGAAACACCCTCACTGATATATCAAGAAATAATGTTTTAACAGCTCTCTGGACTCTCTTAACTCAGTCAAGTTAACACATAAAATTAAGTTTTAAACTTCATTAGGAAGTAAAATCTTTTCTAAAATATCTGAACCATAATTTATGTGTCTTTGGGAAGAACTTATTTCTATACATATTCCCAGAACACAATATAGGACTACCATGTGCTTCAGGCAATTCATAACTTGTTCTTCAGAAGTAATCACATTATTTCTCTAGAAAAATAAGGGTGTTGAGAGCATGGAATAATATCATTTTGATTAAAAAGATGAGTTATGTCATAGAAATAATGTTGACATGGAAAAGAAAGAAAATAATATTTGCTGATAGCCCCTCTATGCCAATTATGATCTTATAAGATTTCTGTAGGTTAGAGGAGAGGAAGAAGGTCAATCTGATATTTAAAAAATAATATTCCTGCTATATTTTTGTTTACTTGTCTTTAGATGTTAACATCTTTAATATCTTTAAATGTTTAAATATCAATTAAACATTTGTTAGTTGTTTTAGAGTATATAGATATTTGAAGAATATGAATGTAGATACATAAAAAGTATGTACAAAATAAAAAATATAAAAAAGTATGTACAAGAAAATGTACATAGGAAAAATGCACATCTGTTGGTGGAATAGAGCACTGAAGATCTAAATTTTAGTACAAACAAATACAGTTCTATAATGAAAAATAATATTTGAAAAGACTAGTGTGAACTTACATGAAACATGTAGTATTGAAAGCTTTTTTGTGTGACATATTTATTTCCTTTCTGCTCCTGAGTTTCAGAGAGAGTTTATGCTCCTTCATACAACTCAGTTAAAAGTACACTATATTCAAAGGTCTGTAGCTATCCCTTTTATATTCTATCCTCCTTTTTTTACAGTATTCTGATACATTTTATTTTATTTCTACCTTTCCTCTGTTCTATTTGCCTGTACCTCTCTATTGCCATATGTACTCACTTTCCTTATTTAGAACTCTGAACAAGGTCTAAATTTGTCATACATGTACTGTTGTTGTATGTGTGTTTTATCATTTATGGACATGATAGAAAATGAGTCCTATTATTTTCTTCATGTTTCATTCTCAAAACTTTTGAGGTCCATCTTTTTTCTTTTACATGTTTCTAAGTTGTTGCTCCTTACCTCTCACTATTCCACTTGTCATATTTTACTTGGGCATTTTCCATATATAATTTGTCCTGAAACCTGTGCTACTTGTTGTTGTAAAGAAAGGGCAGGTTATTTTAATGGACAATACTCATGAGTGGGATTAGTTTGTGCATCAAACAGTATATGTGGATAGTCCACTGTAGGGGAAGATCGGATTTAACACTTGAAGATCAATACTAGTAAAACCTTGGAAGGGCTTATAGACAATATAAGAAAGACTGCTGCTTGCTCTCATTCCTTCCTGCTTCCATGAAATAAAAAAGGTAACAATCTGAAGGAAGCACCTCCAACGTTCATGGGCAGATTGGTCACCCACAAGAAAAACAAACAAACAAAAATAAAAAATCCCTCAGATTTGCTCAGTCCCATTACCATTGCCTGTTGCCATCTTAGTGTCCATCTGCCTTCAAAACCACATGGGACTTTCTGTTGGAAGACGGAGAATGGCAATACAATTTGCAAAATGTATTTCCATACTTCCTTCTGATACAGAGAAAAATATGCAAATAGTGGAGATTATAGTTTCTAAAACATTGTCTAGCAAATCAGACTTTGGTATAGAGAATGGAGGTATATCTTGGTTTATTGAATCAAACAAATAGTTTGTCATTATATACACTTATCATAGTTCCTAAAATCCATCTCCTTTTGTTACTACAATCAACTGAAAATGGTACATATTTCTACCATTAATTGTAGAGATCTTAAAATTACTTTTGACCTTGATTTATTTTCTAATAAAGTAGGTTATCTCTTCATTCCTTTGTTAGCCTTTCAGGCATATGCTTCTGTTAACTGCTCATTAATATCCCTTGACCTCCCTGTACTTTCTTAATTACTTAATTTAGATGGTTTCTGGAATTTTCCAGTATTCATCTCTTGGTCTTTTAGTGGCATAAATATCTTCACCCAGTTACAATTTACTCAACATGAATTAACTTGTATTGAATAGAAATAATTATTAATTTGGGGATAATAATTTTAAAATGTTTATAAAAATTATTTTATAGCCTTTGATAAAGAATTATCCACATTTTCTTCCACAAGCTTGTTACAGCTATGTTTACCTGTAAGAAGCTTTCATTATTGTGTGACTTAATACTATAAGTTTGAATAAAACACTAATAAAAATTGACTCCCTTACTTTGTCCAATAATAATATGATTGTTTTATGTAATTTGATTTTTGAATGGCATTTAGAGTATGAGGGTGAATTTTTATTGTTTCCTGAAAGTTCTGATTTTTGTTTACAAACTTACTTAGTTTAACCTTTTTGATTTTCTAGTATATTAATGGGATTACCAAGATTTGGGTTTCATCCTAAGTATGTCTGTTATATTTTGCTGATTGATATATCTGCTTATTCATCTAGAAGTGGGTCTTCAGAAGTATATTTGTCTTAGAAATGAGGGTTATTTCTATGAATTCTACATGTTCCTTTCTTTGTTATTTATTGAAAAGGGAAATATCTATACAACTTCTTTTTATTTTCTTTTAATCCAGGTGCATGCAGTGGTTGCATGTCTGTAACCTCAGATACTCTGAAGGTTTAGGCAGAAAGATTATGAATTGGAAGCCAGTAGGGGAACATAGCTAGATTCTGTATTCACAAAACAAAAACAAGTCAAGTATAGTGGCACACACCTGTAATTCCAGCAACTCCAGAGGCTGAGGAAAGAGAATCTCAAGTTTGAGGACAGCCTGGGCGACTTAGCAGGAGACCCTGTTTCAAAATAAAAATAAAAAATGGCTGGGGATGTACTCAGTGTTAAAGCATCTGTAGGTTCAATTCTCAATACTAAAAAAAAAAAAAAGGTACTGGGAAAACTGGATATCCATATGGAAATGAATGAACCTAGATTCCTATCTTATCCTGCACAAAAGTCAAATCAAAGTGGATCAGATTTAGAAAATTTTACAACTGCCAGAAAAATATATAGGTTGAACACTCCAACATATTGTTGCAGGACTGAATTACTTAACAAGGTTTCTAAAGCTCAAGAAATAAAAGCAATAATCAATAGGTGGTACAGCATTAAATTAAAACATCTTCTGCACAGCAAATGAGAAATATTAAGAAAGCAAAGAAGAATCCTGCAGAATAAAAGAAAAAATTTGCTAGTTACTGTCGCGACCCCTTGCCCGCAAGGAAGACGCAACTCAGGAATCTTCTTTCAGCAGTTTATTCAGGCCCTTGATATTTCTTCTTCTTTCTCTCGGATGCCCCTCCCAGCCTTAATAAAGCATCCCAAGCCCCAATGCAAAGCTGCCGCGTGGAGCTTTCTCACAGGGTGGTGAAAAATTATGTGCCAACTTTCCCAGATAAGAAGTTGTTTGTCACAGACCACAGCGGAGAAAGCGTCATCTTGTAATGGCAACCATAATCTGCAGAAACGGCAGAAGCGGCTCACCACAGTTCCCCCTTTTCTGTTTTCTTAAAACAATACAGGCGAGAGTAGAGGTCCTATCCCACTGTGCAGAAGTGGCTGCATAGTATGACTCAGTCCTAAGGAGGCGCCTTCCCCAGATCTGAAGCCATATCAGCCGACGCCTTTTTTCGTGGGGCGGGGCGTGAACGCGTCTAACCCGCATGCAATAGGACATGCTCTCCTTGAGGTCCACGTCAAGGATCACTCAAGTGCAGTGCCTTGCCTCGCATCCTGTATCGTGACGATGGTGGACGAAGGGGGATAGCTGAGGCTGAACTGTGGCTGTTTATAATGACAAACAAGTTGACAGCACCCTGAAAGAAAGGCACGGACTTTAAGACGATAGAAAAGCACTAGTGTGAAAACCCATCTGCGTGCAATGGCAGTAAGACCGGCAGAGTGCAAGGGCTTTCCAACACTAAGAGAATAACAAGGAAAGTCATGTCGATCCCAGTGCAATGTTATAATAACTTGGGGTGTAACGACCATGACAAAGGTTTACTGCTTAAGATGCGCAAGCCAGACTTGAGGCGAGTTGCCATTTTCTAAAGCTGCAAGAGCTTGTATGATCATAGCCTTTTCTTGTGCATGGCGAGTTTTAAGGCGACAGAGAAGCCACAAACAAAGTACAGCACCAAAGCAACACATTGCACCAAAAATGCCTACTCCCACCCACTCTTTGAAGAAGGAAAAAGCAGAAGATATCCAATCGGTGAATTGACCCAAAGTCACTGGTTCAACATGGGTACTATTCAAAACAGCAATCTGAGTTAGTTGAGACTGGATCAAGTTTTCTGCTTCCATGGACCAGGTTCCGGATAGATACTCTCCAATGATGCGGGAGGCATTTCTGGAATCATAAAATCTGACAGAGGTTATACATAAATGTGCACGTTGATCAATACAACCCAAATGTACTAGGTCAGACAATTCCTCAACTTGAGCTTGAAGCAGATCTATCCTTTGATTAGCAGCCAAAATCCCAGATAGAATGTGTTGATTAATTCTACTTTGAGATTCAAGTATGGTGGATGTTTGTTGAATAACCTGATTAATAGTGGCAGCAGTTTGTACCTGGCTGGCCATGGCTACTCCAGCTGTAACTGCTGCAGCAGCAGATATCGCCACAGCTGTCACCATAGCTGCCGTAATTCCAAAATCTCTACGGGCTCTAATCAGTTCAACAATAGGAAATGACTCTGGATCCGCAGTAACCGGGATCGGGACAAAAGTTGGAATTTTTATAATCACTGCCATAGGCCAGGATCCATTCCAACACTCAGATAAGAGACAGGTAACACTAGAACAATCCAGCATCCCCTGTAATGTAACATTAGCCAAAAGAAACAGGAACGGAGATTGGAGACAGACTGCTGCGGAGGGTAATGTAGCATTAGATAATTGTGAATTATTTGCAGAAATTTTAAGCCTCCTACCTCGCTCCGAGTCTTGGGTACTGCCAGAAACATTAAACAGCCAACTTTGGACTCCTAATATTTCCCTGGGGAAACACAAGCGCGGACTAGACTAGCCCAATCTGAGGGAGTCATGCAAAATCTAGTAAGTCCCTCCACCTGAGTGAGAGTGAAAATGGCATCTATGCCATAAGTGCGGACAGATTCTGCCAAGGTTTTAATTATCTTAAAGTCTAAAGGCTCATGATATCTTCCCCTGTTATTGTCCTGAAATACAGGGTATGCAAGTCCCATATCTGTATTAACTGTCCTCCAAACTTGTGCATGAAAAGATCTCCCGGAACCTTGGCTCCCCCCCACATACGGAGGTGGGGCAATCGGCACCATATCTTCTTCTAGATATTCTACCTCCTCCTCCTCAGAGTTTTGTTTACCAATGTTAACTCCCTTCCCCTTCTTACAGTAGGCCTGCGTGCCCTGTGTCTCCTTTTTCTTCTTTTTCATTTTTATCTTATGTAGTTGTTGTAACAATATATCAAGGTCCTCAGAACTCTCTGAGTCGCTTGTGTTCTCAGGCGTTTTTAATTCGGTCAAGTCTGGGTAGAGCCTTCTCCTATTTTTATCTTCAGGCTCTTTTGCCTTCTCACTACTGTTACTTTTAATACTCTCTGCCACTTCACTACATGATCCTTCAGATTTTTCCTCATGCAATTGCTCGAGAATAGCTTGACCCTCACTCACAGCTTCCTGGCATTTACCATCTGTAAGGCAACCACGGACCATTTTCCAAAGGGGTATCACCCCACCCTCTAATATGCCCTGCTCAGAAGCAAAGTCAAGATCTTTGCCTAATTTATCCCAACTAGGCACAGTAAGGCTGCCCGAAAATGCAAACCACGGTGCAGCGATATCTATCTTCTGTAAAAATCTCTGTAAAGTACTATGTTTCACTTCCAGTCCCTTGGAACGTAACAGGCCATCTAGGGCCAGGAGAAGCGGACTTGAAGATGCGGCACCCATGACACAACAACAAAGGAAGCACAAAAAAAAGAAAGCGAAAGTAGAAGCGAAAGTACACAGTGCAGCTGCAATAAAATGTAAGGCTCTCTCTTTCATTACAGAGGAGCTGCCCCGCTTTGGTCGCGGATCCCACTTACCTGGGACTAACCCCGCTTTGATAGCGGATCCCACTTATTGGGACTAACCCCGCTTTGATCGCGGATCCCACTTACCTGGGACTAACCGGTGCACCACCCCTGACTGCTGAAAGTTCTGGTTCCCGGGTCTCGGCACCACTTGTCGCGACCCCTTGCCCGCAAGGAAGACGCAACTCAGGAATCTTCTTTCAGCAGTTTATTCAGGCCCTTGATATTTCTTCTTCTTTCTCTCGGATGCCCCTCCCAGCCTTAATAAAGCATCCCAAGCCCCAATGCAAAGCTGCCGCGTGGAGCTTTCTCACAGGGTGGTGAAAAATTATGTGCCAACTTTCCCAGATAAGAAGTTGTTTGTCACAGACCACAGCGGAGACAGCGTCATCTTGTAATGGCAACCATAATCTGCAGAAACGGCAGAAGCGGCTCACCACAAGTTACTCCTATGACAGGGAATTAATATCCAGGATGTATAAAGTGCCACAGTCTGCACAAATCACAGGCACTCAAGCAGGAACAAACTTTATTTCCAAACTCCCCCAAATGCCACCCACATGGCCCTTCCAGGGACACCACACACCAATGGGAAGGAACTCCCTCTACCAGAACTTCACCAACCAACGTGAACTCCCCAGGAATCCCCAAAGTAGTGGGCGTCCGAGGCAGACAGCAGGGGTCTATATACAACTGAATACACAGCCTATTTCAATCCAGGATCATCCAGTCACAGCAATTATACACAGCTTAACTTAATTAGCATCATCTTATTGGCTCCCCTCGCAACCATTACTTCTGGCAAAATGCCAGGGGCCATTCCGACTGGGCTGAGGCTCTCAACATCTCCCCCCTTCTGTTTAATTAAACAAGCATGTGGCTTAGGGACCATGCCTGTCTTAGGTTGTCCAATACTACATATGGTTCTTACCTGTTATCAGATGAGCTGACCTCAAGGCATCAGCCTCCTGTCTTAGTTTGGTACCATTGCAATTGGATCTTACCCGTCAATGACTACTGGTCCAGCATATAGCCATACTTGTGGAAAGGCCTTTGCACCAGTGTGGGGGGTGAGGTTCTTTGCCTCACCTCTGTTGGCCCCCAAATTTGGCCTTTGCACCACTGGGGGGTCAGGTTCTTTGCCTTACCTCTGATGGCCCCCAAATTTTAGCTGAACAACCATCACAAGCAGAAGGGAGAGGGATACAGAAATGCCACGACACCAAGCCAATTGAAGGCTCTTTTGGAAAAATTGTACCATTAATGACACCATCAGCAAAGATACCCCAGCACTACCACAATTTGCTGCACCAACAGATAGTTCACAATGCATACAAGTAATACATAGTCCAGGCAAGTTCTGCAAGCAGTTCAAAGCAGAGGAATCTATTAATATGTTCATTTCCTCCCAAAGTAAATTGACTCCTTGATTGAGCATCACTTGTTGAGTTACATTATTCAATGATGCATCAGTTTATACAGTTTGTTGTGATAGTGATCACAGAAGCTGTAGTTTGGTTTTATCTTTGACTTCACCAACACTGGGATGAAGATAGGAATTCTGGCAATGATGGCTAAAAAAAAAATATGTAACATTCCAGCAGGCACTAAAAGAAAGCAATTTTCTGAACAATTTACATTATCCTGAACAGAATTATTAAATATAATGAAAATGAAAGGTGAAAGTACACAAACAGATCTGTTAACCTCCTTTCTTGTTCACATATTAAAACA